AGGACCGGAAGAAGTTTACAAAATTGATCCTGGGGATGATGGGCTTGTCATATGAGGAGTGATTAAAGACTCAGGGTCTGTACTTGTTTGAATTTAGAAGGATAAGGGAGGATCTGATTGAAGAATATTGAGAAGCCTGGATAGACTGGATGTAGAGTAGATGTTTCCACTAGTAGGAGACTCCAGTTCCTGAGGGAATAGCCTCAGAGTGAAGGAAGAACCCCTTAGAACTGTGATGAAGAAGAATTTCTTCAGTCAGATGGTAAGTTAATCTGTGGAACTCTGTCACAAAAGACTATGGAGGCCAGGTCTTTGAGTAACTTTAAGACAGAGAAGGACAGGTTCGTAATTAGTAAGGGTATCAAAGGTTACGGGGAGAAGGTAGAACTAGAAGTCGAGAAACACATCAACTATGATGAAATGGCAAAGTGATTTATTTATATACATATATTTATCGCTACAGTGGCCAAAACAGCAGGTCAGAGGCTAGGAATACTGTGGTAACTGACCATCTGATTCCCCAAAGCCTGTCTATCATCAATGAGGTACAAATCAGGAGTGTGATGCAATACTCCCCACGTGCCTGGATTGGTGTAGCTCCAACAACCCTCAAGAAGCTTGACACTATTAAGGACAAAGCAGCCTGATTGATTGGCATCACATCCACAAACATCTGCTACCTCCACCACTGACGCTCAGTAGCAGCAGTGTGTAATATTTACAAGATGCACTGCAGAAATTTGCCAAAGATCCTGAGACAGCACCTTCCAAAACCATGACGACTTCCATCTGGAAGGGGAAGGGCAGCAGATACATGGGAACACAACCACCTGCAAGTTGGACTGCAATCCACTCACCATCCTGATGTGCAAATATATTGGCCTTCCTTCACTGTTGCTGGATCAAAATCTTGGTATTGAGAGCAAGTGAGAGAAGATGCTGCATGCCATATTGAGAATGGTAGAGCATGAGCCTTGGTAAAAGCAGTGGTAGACTGATTGTGAGGAAGAAGATAGTGGAAGACAGAAGATCATTGGCTTCCTTCCTGCACAGCTGGATGTTCCTGCAGAACATGGAGATGACACTGACCCAGGTCAGCTCAGATCAGGGTGGCAGGGTCTGATGCTGTGGTCTCCTTTGATAGTCTTGAGAAAAGAGCCATATTGCTTTCTCCAAACTTGCCCACCAGGGCCTCCAAACCCCTGGTAAAGTGTGGTGCCCAAGCTGGGTACCACAGTGATATGATGCATGCGTAGTGGGGTGAGAAGAGGACAATTGCATGGGATTCCTCATGGGAAGAACACCCATCCATGAAATTCCCCGAAATTGGCCCTTAGCTGATTTTTGGTAAATTTCAGCTCATTGATACTAAAACTGAGAGCCTAAAGTAAAAAGGTACTGAGTTAGTTACTTTAATGAAAGAGAAAAAGTAGAATTTTTAAAGATTTACAACTTCATAGGTTTGAGGAAGTAAGCTTCAGAAAACTGTTACAACTGAAGTGGAAAGTGAAGTGGTAAATTTCAGGAAGTAAGCATACCTTATAATGTACATTTTGCATATTATGTTATTATCAATGATGAAATCTTTAACTCTTTCAGCAGCACAGATTAGTGTATGGATGGAATAACTTGGCAATTGCTGTGCAGTTTCTGTCTGGGAAGCGCTGCTAATGTGTGACTAAACGATGCCAGAACCAGTTCAACATGTCACTAGAAAGCTTCTCCCAGCACATAGGGCACTGGGAATGCAGGGGGCAGACTATGAGACACCCAAGAGTCCACGTACACAATATCAACATCATTGTCCTCATTATCTCTCTGTTACCTCTTCAAAACATTCCAGCAAGTTGATGAAACATGATTTTCCCTTAATAAATTTCTTGGCAAGGGGTTGGGGAAAGAGGAGGTTGCCTTCATTTGTTTCTGCTGGGTGTTATGAGAGTGGGGAGGGGGGGTTAGGAGGAGGATGTGGTGTTAACAAACTCTTTGGGTTGAAGGTACTAATTGTTGCAGGACTGTGACTGACAGAAGGTGCAGGAGGAGGAGGAGGAAGGGGAAGGGAAAAAAAATTTCCTCGGATGGTGATGGCTAGCACGAGGGGACATAGCTTTAATTTGAGGGATGCTAGATATAGGACAGATGTCAGGGGTAGGTTCTTTACTCAGAGAGTAGTAAGGGCGTGGAACGCCCTGCCTGCAAAAGTAGTAGACTCGCCAACTTTAAGGGCATTTAAATGGTCATTGGATGAACGTATGGATGATAATGGAATAGTTTAGGTTAGATGGGCTTCAGATTGGTTTCACAGGTTGGCGCAACATCGAGGGCCGAAGGGCCTGTACTGTGCTGTAATGTTCTATGTTCTAAATCCTTGCTGGATTTTCTTAATGAATCTGCACATGTCTATGTGATCATTAACTTTGAGTTATTGTTTTGAGAAGTTTCCCACCATCAAATTTAAACTATTTACTAGGGTTACAAGCTTTTTTGAACAAGGCAGAAAACAAATAATTAAAAACTACGGGTGAAATTTTCCCAGCTTTTGAATTTCATGGACAATGAGGAGAAAGTTTGGAAAATACTGTGAGAATTAAAAAATCCTCAATTTCGAGAAAAAGAATTCAATCTTTCCCTTAAGGTTTAATTGATTAGGAGAGAAATATGCTTGTGAGCAGCAAGTGGCCTAGATGTATGTATCAACATCTCATTATGATCTAAGATAACACCATGTGGAACTGGAGGAACACAGCAGGCCAGGATCCATCAGAGGAGCAGGAAAGCTGACGTTTCGGGTTTCTGAAGAAGGGTCCCGACCCAAAACATCAACTTTCCTGCTCCTCTGATGCTGCCTGGCCTGTTGTGTCCCTCCAGCTCCACACTGTGTTATCTCTGACTCCAGCATCTGCAGTTCTTACTATCTCATTATTATCTAATCTCTCCTTATTTATAAGCAGGTACAATTTTCCCAGGGGCCAGTGAGAAACCCAATGGTGCCACTACCCGACATGAAAATCAATGGGCAACTGGAGCTTACCAACGTCTTCATATTGGCCTGCATTCCCAACATCTCAGGGTACAGTTCATGGGCATCAACCATCTGCACGCTTTGTCTTCAGAAGTCAATATCGGTAAAGCACCAGCCTCACCTCATCGGTGACTAGTCTCGGACAAAACCTATAAGACAGTTCACCATTTCAATGCTGCACTTTGAAGCTCACCACGATACATTGCAAAGCTGGTTCCAGGCAGGCAACTTGTCATGTTCACCAACAGTACAGTCAAGACAGTGGGCATGTTGCTGTAGAGCAGCATGCTACATTAATGTCATCCTATAGCATATGCCAGAAATCTATGCAGCAAATGCACTGCATGAGCTTCAACCTAATGGTCTTATCTGAAAATCTAACAGGAGTAGTCCTTAGTCTAATCAAGGCCTACTATGGTCAGTCACATGGTATCACTGCAATTAGGCAACATTATCATCCAACCTTAGTCCATGGTCCATGATTAGTCAGTTGCTTTGTGCAATCAGGGTTTGAGCGTTCATATAATTCTAGTCTGGGGATTGGGCCATGGTTAGTCCAGGGGTTGAGACTAAACATAGAGTCATGCAGCACAGAAACAAACCAGGTTTCCCAATTTAAACTAGTCCCATGTTTTAATTTTATGTCGAAATGGGAAGAATAACTTTTGTAGCTCTTCCATGCACTCTTTAAGTGTTTTCCATTACCTATCAACAGTCATCCCTTCAAATAACAATTCCCAATGATCATAGCTAGCACTTACCTCATGCCATTGTAATTCCCTTTATTTAAATTCAGGACCCTTGTCTGAGAAACAACTACCATCGCACTTTATCTTTATGAAGAATTCTATCCTCTTATATTCTTCAGAGGGCTGGTGTGGATTTGATGAGCTGAAAGGCCTGATTGCACACTGTACGGAATTTATGATTCTATACTGAGGTTTCTTTGCTGAGTCAGAGATAGTAGGAACTGCAGATGCTGGAGAATCCGAGACAACAAGGTGCAGAGCTGGATGAACACAGCAGGCCAAGCAGCATCATCTCTGCTCCTATGATGCTGCTTGGCCTGCTGTGTTCATCCAGCCCTGCACCTTGTTTTCTTTGCTGAGTACCTGCTTTTGAGAAGTACTCTTCAGTTTATATTCTCTCTCCATGCTTTTTTTTTCAACCAAGATGTATCATTCCACAGTTTGAATTTTCATCTGCTACTAATCCATCAACTCTACCAATGTCTTTACCTATGTGCTTTTGAAGTTTGATACTATCCTTCTCACAGTTTAAAACATTTCCAAGTTTTGTATCATGCAAATTTGGAAATTGTGTTCTTCATGTCAGGGTCTAGGAAATGTATTAAAGAGATATGAGCTAAAGGCAAGTACATGGAATTAGGCCACAGATCAGCTCATTCAAGAAGCATTCTTGATGGGCTGAATGGCCTACTCCTGTTCCTATGTTCATATCATCAATATATATCGGGAAAAGCAAGGGTGGCAGCACTGATCCCTTGGGATGTCCATTACATACATTTCTCCAGTCTGGAAAACATCTGGGAATGATCACTCCTATCATTCATCCTATTTTGCGTCCATGTAGCAACGTGTCCCTTTCAAACCGTGAGCTCTAAACTTTGCTCACCAGCCTATTGTGGGGCGCCGCTTCCAACTTATCTGACCAGCTAAGACTTTTGAAGCTCAGAATCTTAAAAATAATTTCTCATCTGAAGTGTTTCCAAAGCCACTTTGTAACATTAATTCTTTACTTTCTGTCAAAATACTGCTCTGCTCACTTAGCTTTTAGTCAATTCTTCAGAAGATTAAGTACTTTCATATTTCCAAATAGACCGCAAACTTTTATCAAAACAAATCCCGTTTTGCAACAGTAGCTGTGTGAAAAGATAATCTTTCTTCTGGCTGGCTTTACATTAGCACTTAGGTGCTTTTGCTCTTCTGCCATTTCCTGTGCGCGTGTGTATTTTTATACATCAGCCACTATTCATGAAATCACCAGTTCGTTGGTGCTTCTCGTCCAGAAATAAGATACTTTCCAAACATGGGAATCCTGACGTCAGGCTTCCTGAAAAATATGCGCGGCTTTAACTTCCTCAAGACGCCTCAGAGGAGAGCTGATGTCTTTAAAGTGGGAGGTGATGAAATCCACCCTTAGCTCAAAGACGTTTGACAACCAGGAATCGACCACTAAGTCACCCCAGACAAGGTAAGGAAACAGCGGCTTGTCTGATCCTGGGCTACTCCCGGATGGATCGGAAACGCCGCACCTCAAGCCTTTTGTTCATTTACCTTTTATGTAAAACATTTGTCGGGGAGAAACACAGAAGGAGGGGACATGGGGCTTGATTCGGTATACAACTGTCAGTCTCAGATTTCCTGTAATTCTCGAGTTCAGGAAAAGGGAGTTGAGCAGATACGAGGGAATGAAGAGGCTTTCGGACAGCTGGAGTTCAAACAAGCTGCTCATTGCAAAACAAAAGTATTATAAACACAAATTACTGCGGATGCTGGAAATCCAAACAAAACAAAAAAGCAGAACATATTTGAAATACCCAGCAGCTCAGGCTGTGGAGAGGAAGGGTTAGCATGCTAGGGGGGCAGATAGTTCAGTTGGCTGGATGGCTGATTTGCCATGTACAGTGATGATAACGGTTTGGGTTCAGTTCCAGCACACCCTGAAGTTACCGTGAAGAACCCTCCTTCTCAACCTCTCCCCTTGTGGTGACCAACAGGTTAAGCTACCACCAGTTATGTCTCTTTGTCTCTCTCTAATGAGAGAGCAGTCTCTCTAATGTGATCTGGTGACTTCACCTTTACCTTATTATAATGGTTGCTTATGGGGATCCTGCAGAATCCACCTGAAGATCTTCATAAAAATTGGTGAATGGTTGCAATTATATTAAGGAAAATGATTACTCAGAAAAGGTTAGACTCTTAAATACATGGTGTAACTCCTGAATAACTGTTAAACTGATCCCATCATTTGCTTGCACAAATGTTACAGACCCTTCACACTCCTAGATACTGACCTGGCACTCCCTGTGTATAATCCCTAACTCTATATCTCTCTATAGCATCAATTCCCCCACCCCTATTACCCTGCTACTGGCCTGAATCCCCCTGACACTCCTGTTCCTATGTTCATATCATCAATATATATCGGGAAAAGCAAGGGTGGCAGCACTGATCCCTTGGGATGTCCATTATATACATTTCTCCAGCCTGGAAAACATTAACCCTCTCAAGCAGCACCCTGATTAAACCTAATTTTTCTACCCCACCCCAAAGTACCCTAAACACTTCGCTGCCCCTTTGTCACTTTACACCCCCCATCCCAGCTGGCACTCCATCTCTTGTGGAATTGCCACGCTCCGGAATGTCTGACCTGATGTTTCAGATTGATGACCAGGCCAGATGAAACATCATCAATCAACATGAAATCCCATACCTAGACTTACATTTTTCAAAAAAAAGTCCCAATTTCAAGGGAATGGGAATGAAAGATCATAGAAACTTGGAAGATTGGAAGATTTAGATCTAGCCCTTTACCACCTGCTCCTTCGCTCATGAAATATTTAGCGATGTGCGTGCAAATTTAACAGCATTTTGAATATTGCGAAGTTCCACAATAGCAATACAATGTTTCAGGTTATAGATAAAAAAAAGTATTGTTCTGTAGTAATTGTAACAATGTCAGCCAGTTGGACCTCATAGAATTTGAGTTTCCTGATTGGGACTGTTAATCTGGTCCAATCAGGGAGCCCTGGCTGACAGATATAAACAGGAGTGTCAGATATCCTGTTGACTCTGAGAGCTGGCTGTGAGGGAGCTGGATCAGTATCAAGGACTGTCCATGTGTAAATAAAAGGTGACTCGGTAATGGGATACTGGCCTCTGTGGAGATATTTCACAAAGGAGATCTAATACTCATTTCAGGTACAGCATGATGGAGATACAGCCCAATGTCAGTCAAAAGCAGCACCTGCCATACTATAGCACCAAGACATTACCTTCACTGTGTATTCCACAAATAATTTGAACTCCAGCCTTATAATTTGACAAAGAAGTGCTCAACTTGTAAATAAATTCTAATCTCTCATTCTATTTATACCCCTGCTCCCATTGTTGTGCTCAATTCTGTCACAGATCCACTTTTTACTGGTTGCATGGGTCTATCTACAAACACTCAGGGATCACCACTTCACACTCACTCTACCCCAGTGCAGACTGAAGTCTCCGTAAATATTCTTCCACATCATTTAATAGTTTTCAAAGTTCATACTGAGAGTCTGTGAAAATTTGGGATTCCTTTGTTTCTTTTCTTTTCACAAGTCAACTAAATTTGGACTTTTCATGGATGATGTGGGTAGTATGTGGGTGATTTTCTAATATATGCCACAAGTAGGCGAGGATCTATTGTAGCACTGTGAATTTGGACAATTGTCTCTGCTGTTCAATTGAGGACCATGTCACTATCTTGCTACGTCCTTTGCTTCTGAATATAATTTGAGATACATTTTACCAAATAGAGTAGGCTGCATATATGGAACAAAAACAAAGTTGCTGGAAAAGTCAGCAGATCTGGCAGCATCTGTGAAGAAAAAATCAGAGTTAATGTTTCGGGTCTGGTTCTGAGGAAGGGTCACCGGACCCGAAATGTTAACTCTGATTTTCTTCACAGATGCTGCCAGACCTGCTGAGCTTTTCCAGCAACCTTGATTTTGTTCCTGATTTACAGCATCCGCAGTTCTTTCGGTTTTATTTAGGCTGCGTATATGGTTCTGGCAGCATAATCTGTTCTGTTTTCAGGGTTAATGCCAGGATGTGGTGGACATCCCAAGTATCTTCCAGTGAGTGATGTAACATGAAGAAGAATTCATTGCCAAACACGGATGAATTAAAATTTAAATTTTAGAGAACAAAATGACTTTTAATAGAATGTTTGTGAAGTGGTATCCATCAATGAATGTGAATAGAAGTGTTTAAAAACCAATTGAACGAAGCTGTGTATTTCAGCACAATTGGTTGTGTGTCACTGGATAAGCAGAATAGTAGCTGATAGTATAATAACATGCAAGTATAGAAGAGTGAGTAAAGGCTACCAAGTGATTCAATGCTCACCTTATTTAATTAGCAATTGCCACCTTTACTTTGTTCACTCATGTGACATGGGCATCTCTGGATGGGCCAGCATTTATTGCCCGTCCCTAGTTTCCCTTGAGAAGGTTGGGGGTGAACTGCCTTCTTGAATTGTTGTCGTCCATGTGCTGTAGGTAGACTCACAATGCCCTTAGGGAGGGAATTCCAGGATCTTGACCAGTGACAGTGAAGGAATGGCAGTAAATGTCCAAGTCAGGATGGTGAATGGCATGTGGGGAACTTGCAGGTGGTGGTGTGCCCATATATCTGCTGCCCTGTCCTTCTAAATGGAAGTGATTGTGGGTTTGGAAGGTACGGTCTGAGGATTTTCAGCAAATATCTGCAGTGCATCTGGCCAAATGGGCACACTTTGATCCTATGTCATAAAGTCATAAAGTTATACATCATAGAAACAGGTCCTTTGGCCCACCGTGTCTTTGCTGACCAACAAACACCAAACTACACTAATCCTATTTACCATGTGTTATGGTCTTATGTCAGGAAATTGATCCATGTCTCTCTATACCATGCACACACGACCCAAGAGATTCTGTTTCCAGTATGTTTGTGATGATTGCAACTCATCTCATGTATCTGTAATATGGTCCACTGTCACAGGAACATAGACTGTAAAGGATGGCGAAGGATCTATTTGAGAGTCTATTCTTAACGGTCACAGACGCACTTCCTACTGGGGCAAACTGGACGTGGAAATTTCCTGACACGTGTACAAGTCTGGCAGGAGCGCACATACATGGTACAGTCCTTAGAGGCAGTATCATTCCCTAATATTGGTTTTGAATTTATTGATTGACTTCTTTTAGGAGGTTTGACTTTTTTTGATATCTGTCGTCATCTCTTGTTTTACTTCTTTTTTACAATTACCTACCTGCACAAGCTGTTAACTTGGCTAATCCCCTTGTTCATCCTTGTTTTCAAATTACGCTATGATCTCACTTCTTCACATCCCTGCAACACTCCAGGTCTCCAACCCTCTGAGTCTCCTTCACTCTAAGTTCTTATAAATTCTCACTTTCAATTTTTTTCTGAGCTGTGGAATTTGTTCCTTAAACATACCCGTTTCTTCATCCTTAAGGCCCTCCTATAAAACTACCAAGTTTTTGCTCACAAGATCTCTTATCTCCCCATATGACACATTTTCAAATTTTATCTCATAATGCTGAATATTAAAAGCACTGCTGAAATAAATGTTGTTATAAAGGCTCAAGATAAAAGAACTTGTCTAGTCTTGCACCATTTCTGGGAGCAGTAAATCTACAGGGTAAGGAGCGGCCTATCGTTTGACAATAATTGGCAATTTCAGAGATCAACAAAGAGATTAGGTTGAGAAAGAGAAAAGCAACATTGATACATAGGCTTGCTGCACTTCCCTTGTTCTGACAAACCTCTCTAACTTGAAGTTCTATCATTAGTGGAAAACAGGCAACTTCAAATTTGTCACCTTATTCACACTTTGCCTGCTTTCCCTTTCAACAGAATTCAATGAATGCAGAATGTACAATGACTGACAAATCCACTGTTATCTTATTATTACCTGACTAATGTGTTGTGAAGCTGTAAAAATGAATGTAAAAATCTGTGTTCAATTTACTTGAATTGGCAAACTTTGGAAATGTTTCCTGATTGTCAAGGTGCTACTGAGGGTTTATATTTCCATATAAATCGTGCAATATCTCAGCTGAGAAAGCTCATTACTATATTTACCATTAGTGAGTTTGTTTTTTTACAAGGATAACATATACTCTGTTAATTTGAAAAGTGCAATTTGTAAAAAGCTTTTGGCTTCCACTATGATATCTCAAAGTATTTGATCCAGAACTCACAATATATTTAACTTGTATCATGACCACTGCCATCCGTTTGTTCATTTAATCAATGAACGCTTCATCAGCAGCGATTCTCACAATCAGGACATGTACTAACTAGAAGACCAGGACACCCAGATCCTTCCATCCCGCAGAGTTCTGCAGCTTGTCTCTTTTTCAAAAATGTGCTTCCCTAGTCTTCCTGCCCAAGTGGAGAAACTAAAATTTTCTCACGGTATAT